GGGTAAATTACACCGACTTTCCCTGAGATTTGGAGAAGATATAATAAGTCCCACAAGTTTGACATTATTATATTGAGTTTCTTTGAGGTTTTAATTCACATAATAGTTAGCATTTTTTCATCAGAAATTATTAGTCATATGAATGAAAAAATAAATTTTTTTGGGTGAACTGAAAATATGATATCATCTCTTTTACATTGAAATATGTATTTTACCTTGTTTATCTTTTTGTCTTTACACCATTTGCATTAGTTTCGGTTTCTTTAACCTTATTAAAAGGGAGGTTGATGTAATTATTCCAACACTATGGGGCTTATTGTATTTTCTTCAAACTTTGGGGGAGGTTCGTATAATTTACCTAAAATAAAAAGAACAATGTTGAGAGCATGATAAATGTGGACCATGAGAGCATGATAAATGTGGAAGAGGCTCCATCTTTACAAGTGTCATTATTTTTTGATAAATATAGATTTATTAAGAAAGCATCAATGAGATGCTAAAAGAATACAAAATCAACCCCTCGAATAGGGACTTAACCAACTAAAACATAAAATAGTAAATAAATTAGAATCCACTCTTCCTGACTCCCAACTATACAAAATACCACAAAACCGAGCAATCGACTGAGCACTACCCTGAAAAACCTGACGATTTTGCTCCAACCAAAGCGACCACATCAAACACAAAGGAGCTAATACCTAGGCTCTCCGCTGTCTCTTTCCAACTTGACCACCCCCCAACAACGAAGCACGTCCATGACCTGCTTTGGCTGAACCCACACCACTCCAAACAAAGAAGAGACAAGCACTCATTGCCGAAAAGCAACCGGACAGTGAATAAGCAAATAATCTATTGTCTCTGCATCCGCACAATACATGCAACACCAATTCACCAAAATATGATGTCGACAAATCAGATTATTAACAGTCAAAATCCTACCAAAAGTTGCCATTTACACAAAGAAAGCCACCTTGGACGGAATACTAGAAACTTACGCATGACGCCAATGGAGAGCTCCCACCACCGCCACACAAAGTCCCATAAAATGATGAGATGGAAAATACATTTCGCTCCCTGCCAACCTTAACCTCATACAAAAAGGCCAACAAATCCACCAACTGTCCAATCTCTCAATCCTGAGTTTGCCGATGAAACACTATATCCCCAACCAGCCCCTCACCTCCTCTATCCAAATACGAAGCCACCATCACATTAGGATCTACCGCCAATTGAAAGATCAAAGGGAAACGCTCCTGCAAAGTAATCTCCCCACATTACCGATTCCAAAACCGCACATGCACTCCATTACCCACACGAAACTGGATGTGATCCCAAAACCCAACCCTACCCAACCAAATTTCTTTCCACAATCTGCACCCATGAGAGCCCCCCACCGATGTTACATGGACTCGGCACGTTGGGGCGAAGTACCCGTGTCGACATGACACGACATGGGTGCGGGTGTTGGATCTGTGTCGGATTCGCCTTTTCTCTCTCGGACACGGCTAATCAAAAAGAAAGAAGAAGGTTGAGATACTTACATTGATGTATGGGTTCAAGATCTTGATCGTGTCTTTCGATTTTTTTTGTCTCGATTTCTTTTTCTCTCTCTATCATGATCTCCTTCTCTCCCTCGATATCTCTCTCGATCATGTTGTGCGTGTGTGAGAGAAGAGAAGAGGAGAGAAGAGAAGAGAAGAGACAGACCCATTGTGTTGCTATGCGTGTGAGAGAGAAGCGAAGAGGAGAAGGACATACTCATCGTGCTGCTATTGTTGCTTGTTTGTGTCAAAGCTGCAGCTACTGCTTTTGTTTGTATCAAACCCTAACGGGCTGGACCTAATGGGTTGGACCAAATAAATTACTAAAAAGCTTGCTAGTATAAATCCTAATGGGCTGAACCCAAACAAATAAATAGAAAGTTTGGGCACTGGTTTGTATCATAATAATTAATATTATAAACTATAATAGGCTGGACCCAAAAGAATAAAGAAAAAATTTGGACCTATTGGCTGGTTTGTATCATAATAAACCTAATGGGTTGGATCCAAATAAATAAATAAAATATGTGGGCCTATTTATAAACTCTATTCAACAATAACATGGGTTATTCTATGACTTATCCATATGTTTGATCCTATTTATAAAAAAAATTGTTAGGTCAACTTTTTTTAACTCATCATCATATAATAAATATATTTAAAAAATAACTATTTAACTCATTTTTATATAATTAATATATTTTAAAATAACTATTTAACGTATCTCCGTACCCGTATCCACATTTGGATTCGTATCCACATTTGGATTCATATCCACGTATCCTCAATTTTTAATTTTGAAGTGTCCGACCTCCAGATACGCACCTGCACCCGATACCCACACCCAAGTCTGTGTAACATAGCCCCCCACCTCCCTAGTACACTATTCACCCCTCCCCAACCCATACTTAGAGGCCACCACCCTCTGCCATAACTGATCCCGTTCATTGGACAACCTCCAGAACAACTTCCCCAATAAAGCCAAATCAAACTTACACAACCTCCTCACCCTCAACCCCCCCTCCTCCTTAGGACAATAAATTTGCTCCCAATTAACAAGATGATACTGAAACTCCCCACTAGCACTTCCCTACAAAAAGTCCTGCTGTAACTTCTCTATACAGCGAGCCACTGACATAGAAATGACATGGACCGACATAAAATAAGTTGGAATACTACTCAATACGCTCTTCACCAAAGTTAGCCTTCCACTCTTAGACAAATGTTGCTTCTTTCACCCTGCCAACCAACGTTGCACCCTCTCCAACACCCTATTCCACACCCCTTTTGCCTTAAAAGGAGCCCCCAAAGGCAAATCCAAGTAAGACCACCGGCAAATGAGACACCCTACAACCCAAAATGGCCGCCAAAGTTGAAAGATGGCCGACCTCCTCTACCGAAATTAATTCCAACTTGGCCAGATTCACCTTCAAACTCGAGACCACTTCAAAGCATAGCAAAACATAGCGCAAATGCCTTAATTGCTCCGGATGAGCCCCGCAGAAAATCAAAGCATCATCAACATACAGAAGATGAGAAACACCAAACCTATCTCCCATCGAAAAACTTGCCAACAAACCGCCCTGCACCGCCAGAGACAACAACCGACTTAGTGCTTCCATGACAAGAATGAACAACAAAGGATCCCCTTGTCGCAAAACCCGAAACGTCTGGAAGTAACCCGCCGGCGTCCCATTCACCAATACAGACATCCGTACCGTTGAAATGCAAAACAAAATCCACTGCCTCTACTTTTCTCTAATGCTGTGTTTGGTTGGGGGATTTGGGGAGGGATTTGGAAAGGGAAAGGGAAAAGGTGCGTGAAACTAGGTGAAATATAGGCATGTTTTATTCACATTTCACCTACCTTTTTCATTTCCCTTTCCAAATCTCTCCCCAAATCCCCCAACCAAACACAGCATAAAATCCATCTGCTCTATGACAGACATCAAAAAATCCCAACTGACATTATTATAGGCCTTCTCAATATCTAGCTTACAAATGACGCCTGACTGTACTCCTCGCAAACAAGAATCAACACACTCATTAGCCACTGACACTGCATCCAGAATCTGACGCCCACCTACAAAGGTGTTCTGTGATTCGGACACCACCTCCCCTACTTGCAACCGAAGCCTATTCGCCAAAACTTTCGCTAAAAGCTTGTACACACTTCCCAACAAACTAATTAGCCGAAATTGTCAAATATCCTTAGCGTCGTCCACCTTAGGGATCAAAGCAATAAAAGTCGCATTGAAACTCTCCTCAAACTGGCCCGTTTGATAAAATTGCCCCATTACAGCCATCACACCCCCCTTTACAACATCCCAACAATGCTGGAAAAAAGTCATAGTAAATCCATCTGGATTTGGAGCCTTTACAAGTGTCATTGTAATACTTAAATCATATGTTGAAAGCCTGAAATTTAGGATGATTCAAATTTTGATTGATCAAATGAATCCAAACTACAGAAGGCTGGATGAAAAAGAATTTTGTTCTAAGTTTGGAGTGCTCAAAAACAAATAACTTAACTTTCGATTTTCAAAAAAATTCAAATGCAAAAAATAAACGCCGTTTCAGTTAACTCAATGGTCTAGACCTTAAAATTAGTAAGTGAAACCAAACATGTAGGATCCTTACAAACCAATATGGTGTGTGTTTAATAAACATGGGTGGCATCTGAGCACATCTCCATATATGGGGAATGTGATTTTGAAAAAATTACGGCTTCAATTTCTGCTACCGTTATGTCCATTACACCCCAAACTGTGTTTCCGACACTGTTATTGTTACGACGGCTGCTACTGTTACTTAAAACTAGTGACGACATCTGATAAATTCCAAAAACATCATGACAGCAACAACATCCATCAGAGAGGGATTTGGGAAAAGAAAGATGGAAGGGGAAAAAATTGAGTTTCTGTTTTTAGATTTCTGTTAGATACATGCATATAAGCTTGCCTATTGAATTCATGTAAATAGTTCTTTTTTTTCCCAAGAATCCATTGCTTCCCAAGGCTGAAGAAAAAGGGAGGGAAAAAAAAGAAACAAAAATAAACGAAGACACAAATGACGGAGCTAAACCTTCTCCAACTTGATATTTATAATTGTTTAAACCTGAAGGTTTAGAGGAGAACGTGAAATTTTTTAAGCTATTTGAATGAGATGATAAAGCCTAAGTGATAAGCATCAGCTCAAGAGATGGGCTGCAATCACTCCCTCAAATCCTAATGAGGAAAAAATTTGTTCCTAATCATACATGTCCGCTACCACATCTCTCATATCCATTCGTTCACCCAGCGATTCCATCGAGCATGAAACTTCAATTGTTAGCACTGCAACCAAGCACTCATTGGTTTTGGCTATCTCGATTACGTGACCATCATCACCTCCAACTTCCAATAACAGTGAAGGGTCTGCAATCTCCATCACTCTTTCTGGCAGTGCCATCTTAGTAAATCAATGGAGATTCAGACCGTCCTTGAATATGATATCAGTAGGTCTCTTTCCTGTAAACATCTCCAGTAGGAGAATTCCGAAGCTGTAGACATCTCCCTGCATGGATGCCTTGCTGCCCATACCATGCTTTGTGGCAAAGAATCATAACAAATCATGTTAATTGCCCAAAGATTTTAGACTTCAAAAACTAGGAATGATCTTGATATGTCATCTCCAACATGAAAGATGAATTTATCAGCATCCCCAATAAATATATGAGTTGGAGAAAGATGCACTTAGTTACTTAGGAACAACAGAGCCAACAGTTCCTTTTATCCCAATTGAACTGATTTTATTTTGAGAACTAGTGGGTAGGCTGTGATCAGATAATAGATGTGCTACTCCAAAAGCACCCATGCGTGCAGTCATGTCATGATCCATCAGAATATTACTCGGCTTCAGATCACCATGGATAAGTACTGCTTGGCAGTGATGGTGAAGATACTGTAGTGCAGATGCTACCTCCGTCGCTGCTCTTAGTCTTTGAGTAAGACTTAAACTTCTTTGATGGTTTTTCGTAAAAAACCAAAAAGTCATCCCAAATATACTAGTTTTTTTTACATCATATTTTAGCCAAAAAGTTACTAAAAAAGCTTGTTCTCAAATGAGGCTTGAATGATAAATTCAAATTTTGCAAAACAATGAAGTTTTGCCAGTATGCTGGAATTTCCCCAGACAAGTTATTTCTAGAAAGATCAATGAAGTTAAGGCTATTTAAAGCGCTCAAAGATGAAGGAATTCTTCCTCCAAATAAATTCCCCTCCAAACTAAGCCGCCCCAGCATCAAACACTTGGTGAGATAGTACTTGGAATTTCTCCGGTCAATCTGTCATTCAAAACATCGAATTCCGTTAGGTTGCTCATGTTACCGACCTCTGTGGGCAAGGGATCGGTTAAAGAATTTTGAGCCAAGTTGAAAGAAAGAGTCATAGAAGAAAGGCTTACAATTTCCTTGGGTATGAAACCAGTAAAGTTGTTACTGAACAGGTACAGTAGCTCTAGTCGACAATTTCCCAAACTAGGAGGAATGTTGCCACTCAATTATTTGTGTGCAAATACAATTGACCCAGCTGTGTTATGTTTCCAAGATCGGCTGGAATTCCCCCTGAAATTCTATTATCAAACAGGCGAAGATCCTCCGATCTTTCGAGTTTGCCAATACCCACTGGAATTTCTCCTGTGATTGAGTTCATGGAGATTAGCAACCATGTCAGGCCAATTAAATTCTCTATTCCTTCAGGGATGGTTCCTGATATCTGGTTTGCTCCTGCAATCAGCTGTTGAAGAGTAGTTGAAAAATTAGCAATTGAAGTTGGTAATTCACCTTTGAACCTGTTAAGGCCTATGTCCAGTTCCTGGAGGTTGCTGCAGTTAGTTAAAGAAGTTAAGAAGCTAAATCCTTCTGCTTCCACAGTTCGTAGCAGATTATGGGTGACTGTGAACCTAGCTAGTCCCTTTAAGCTTCCAAGATTTGGAGGCATGGTTCTTGTAAAGTTATTGAAAGAAAAATCTAGTTCTACTAGTCTTGTGGCGTTAATGGGCCGGGGCGGGGCCAGGGATCACACTCCCCGTCCCCGATCCCCGATGGTGAAAATTCTCCCGTCCTCGGCCCTGATACCCGACGGGGAACCTATCACCGCCCCCGCCTCCGCCTCCGCCTCCGCCCCCTAACGGGGATCGGGTTTTCCTGACCCCGGAAATTCCCCGGCCCAAAAAAAACCCATAAATGATGACAACCTTAGATGCTCTGTTTGGTTGTTGAGAAAAAGAAATAATTGCAATTGAATGCAACCCAAGTGCTCACTACACACAGAAGATTGAATACATTAGTGAAAGAATAAGTTTCTTGCTCAAAAACAAGTAGTTACCTGCATTCTGATTCCCGTTTTTGATGCTGGAATATTAAGATCAATTTGGGCTTTTGTGAAATCAACATGTTCTTCTACAGTCAATTTGTCAGAGGACTCTGTATCAGCAGCAGCAATCACCAATGGGTTTGGTTCTTCTGAAACATCCTTTGCCTTCTCTTCGTCTTTTTCTTTTTCTTCTTCCTCAATATCTGAGTTCATCATTTTCCCTTCTTGGTCACTGCTTTCAGACATTTTCTTGATCTTTCTTGAATATGGTGGTGGGTACTTGGCTGATTCTACATGGAGAGAGAGAGAGAGAGAGAGAGAGGTGAGAGACAGGCAGTGAGGCTCTGTGTGTGTGTGAGGTTGTGTTATGTTAGGGTTGGGTTTATATATATATAGGGGTATAATAGAAATTTCAGTTCAGGGAAATGGAGACGGGGACGGGGACGGGGACGGGGACGGGGCTAGAGAACGTATCATTGTCCCTGGCCCGAACATTATCGGGGATGCATTTTTGAATATCATCCCCGACCCATCGGGGTTATTTTTCGGAGAAAAATCGTTCTAATCGGGATCGGGGGGGCGGGCCCCTGTTGGGCCGGGTTCAAATTGCCATCCAATGAAACTGCGATGGGACCAGTAAATTGGTTTCCTCCAACATAGAGGCCGAGGAGATTGCCAAGAGTAATCCACTGAGTTTCTTTGTTGACAGATAGCTCAGCTGGTATGGGATTTCACTGACAAGATTGTTGTAGTTCAAGTTGATGACTTGCATATCTGAACAGTAAGATAAGTTGCTCGGGATTTCCCCTTCAAAGACATTTTTGCTGAGGTTGAGGTTTTGAAGTCGTGACAAGCGCCCAAGCTCTTGAGGAATTGGACCTTGGAAATCATTGTCTCCGAGATTGATTACCTTCAAGTGGGGAGGCATTGAACCTGTCAACTTTTTGCTGTGCAGATTTAAGACTGAGACTCTTCTAGGATGTTGGTTACTGCAAAAAACTCCCAGCCATTGACAGAAATGTATTGAGCTGTTCCAAGAACTCATGGCACTCTGTGGATCTTGAGTTATCCTATCCTTGAAGGCAAGCAGTGCAAGCCAGTCTGTTTCGTTCCCAGCTGCAGACAAGGCAGATACTGAAGGAGATTTAGAGATGCACAAGGCAGTGCAAGCAAGGATGGCCAGTGACTGATGTAATCTGAAACTTGGGTTTTTCATCGTATCTGATTCCATTATCTGAGGATAATAGAGTGCTAAAGAAGTTGTTAGTGATACAACATTCTTAAGAATTCTTCTGGAGAACTAATTCTCTCCAAGTTTTCTTTCTTTTACTTATTTTTGGCCCAGTAAGGCTCTGTTTTATGGAGATCATGATAATTTATTTTTTATTTTTTAAGGGAGAGTTATAATTTTGGTTGGTGGTTTGTTTGAAAATTTGAAAATTTTAGAAGAGTTTACTGTGGAAAAGATTGGAAAACAACCTTTCACTTGTTCAAATAAAAATCCTATTAAGTACTGTATCCTGTTTCTGTCCCCAGATTGGATATAAGAAGTTGAGGAGCATATGTAATACTTAGAGATATGGAATGAGATACAATATGTTTGGGATATAAGATGGATTATATATATATATATATATTGTGGGATTAGTTATATTATGATTCGGGTAGGATATAGTATGATATCAGATGAGAGTGATTATTTTTTTCCATTAAATGAATGGTATCTCATATTTTGTGGTGGGGGATATGCATTACCATGCTGTGTGTGGTATTGTATCCTGTACTTTTGAGGGATATATTATACCACCAGTTTTCATTATGGTAATCAAACAAAGGATGCACACACACACACACAAAAAGAAAAGAAAAGGTGGAACCCACATATATTTGTATCCCTCATTATCTACTCCAATCAAACAGAGCCCATATTAGCATATAAACATTCAACTCTCTCATCTCTCCAGTCATCTGGTACGTCTCTTATCTCTTTTTCTCTATATAAAATATATATTTGTATGTATACATACGTGATATTATTTTAAACATGACACAACCTTGTACTACTGTGATTCAACTCCACCTTGGATGTGCAGTGTGCCAGTGCACAGGTTATTTACTCAACATAAAAATGACAATGATGAGCACCGTTGACATTTCAATCAGAAAAGGATGAGAGGTAGACTGTTGTTAGTGATGTGTTATGATTTTTTCTTATGATGAGGTACTGTATAATTGAGAATTGAGTCTTGCAGTTGGTATTTTGATCCTGAGATTAGCTTGCTATGCAGTTTGCTTGATGATATATCTTTTAAGTAGGTCTGTAAATGAGAGCTCAGCATTAGGTAGTTTTAGTTTGCTTTGAAAATGTAATGAGTTTTAAAATATATTTAAGCTTGGTTTGATAATCGTTCAAGTCAATATCAAATTAGTTTTAATCAAGCTAAGCTCAAGTGGCTTGAATTTTTATTTTTTTACTGAGGTAAGTAGTAGGTTGTTTACACTTGACTTGAAAATTTAATGAATTTTAAAATGTATTTAACTTTGACTTGCTTACGTAAGGATTATATTTCAAATGAATTTTTTATGAGTCAAACATGAATGGAACTTGAATATTTTGCATAGGTTTGAACACAATGAACTGATATATATTTATTTATTAAATTTTTTTAAGTATTTAAGCTTCGCTTGGTCATCTGCAAGATAGAATAAACTGTCTCTTACATAATCTAGTGATGTAATTCAATATAATATACTTTGTAGAGTATTGATATGTTGACATATATGATAAAAATCGCTATAAACAGAAGTTATTTTGAGTAGTAATAGTAGACACAAGATTAAAAACAAGAACTAGACTTTTTTGTAGTTCCTTAATCGGTTTGGAGGGTCCAGTTGGAAGGCTGCCGACCCACCCAAAATCCAACTAGGTGACATAAATTATTTTTTTTGTAAGACCGGCTGAACAATTCAATCATGAAAAAGTTTAGGTTGATTGGAGCTAGGGCGGAACTTGAAATTTTGTTTGGAAGCAGTCAATATATATGCATAAAAAATATTGAATATAATTTCTTATAGAGTAATTCTACTTGCACAATAATTGTTTCCTTACACCTAATTTCTCATTACACCACAATCAAATTTATCTTCTCCTTTTTACACTTTTCATAATACCAATCTTACCCTTATCTCTTTCCTCTCACTTTTCAAACCCTAGATTTTACTACCGCTTCAATAGCCACTGCTGGCGACTTCAGAGATAGCCATTGCCGTCGACTATGGCCATCAAACTGCAACCACCTTTCCCCACTAGCGAACCCCAAGCCTAGCCCTCTTCTTCTTGCGACCACCTCTACCACCGTCTCCTCTTTCCGATTGCCATGACCAACTACCGTGGTTACTTTTCCCCCCGCGAACCAACAACCTCCAACCAACCTCTTATCTTCGTCTCTGATTCCCATTCCAATATCTTATTCTTCTTTTTCTTCATGGAACTCCAAATTTCTCCCTCTCTCACTCACTTTTGTGGTGGTGGATCTTTTTTTATTTTTCTAGGTCTTGAGATTTGGAACTCTAGATCTCCCATCTTCTCTCTCTCCCTCTCTCTCTCTCTTAAGTGCTTTCGCGACAGATGAATGCGACATAGGTTGCAATTGATGTGGGTCTGAGAAGCGCGATGGGAGATAAGATGGAGAGCATGGCTGGGTTGACGAGGAAGAAGAGGGAAGAGACGGTAATGATGGGCGACTGGGGTTCGCCGTTGGAGAAAAAGGGGTTGGAAAAGGAAATCTCCGGTGGGTTTTGATGCCGGAGGTAATGGAAGTGGCAGAAAAGTTTGCTGGAGATAGGAATGAAGGTCGCCGGGGCGATTGCAGTGGTGGTTGGAGAGATTGTATTGAAAAATTAAGGTTAAGTCTTGAGGGTGTTTTTGGTAATTTTGAGAAGGGATTAAAGTGTAATAAAAAAAATTTGAAAATTTTGGGTGTAATAAGCTGTTTTTCTTGTGTAAGTAGAATCACTCTTTCTTATATAAGCGTTGTGAAAGAAGTATTTCATGAGAAATTATATAAATGTAATAAATAGTTTTTTTAATTTTTAAAGTTTTTGAATTATTAGATCTTACTGTACAATCAGCTAAACCACTATTTTAAGCTATTTATTGATTAATATAATTTAGTAAATAAGAAGTGAAAAATGTTTAAGATTCTTCTAACATGACCCTTAAATTTACACTCAATAACATTAAATGTGACATATCAGTTGATTATTTAGAAATCAATAAGCCAAGACTCAACCCATGTTATATTATTGTGATTAATTTAGGGGGTGAAATTTTAGGTTATCTAACTGTTGGTAAAAATATTAGTTTAAGCCTAATCCACAATGATTTTGATCGACAAACTCAAATAAATTTTAAGTAAACACAAATAAAAATCAAGCTTTGTAGTTGAGTTCTATGCTTTAAATAGATTAAAAACTTCCCTTGAGATAATTAAGTAAAGAAGAGATGGAACAAAAAAGAATATGTATTAATTCGAATGAATTGTCATTTGTCATTAGTTACAAGAACAAAATATTGAAGAAATACAACAATCAATAGAAGAAAAGAAGAGAAGTGGGGTTAGAAAAATCTACTCGTTTTAATTTACTCTTAAAATGCTAAGTTAAACTATTCCTAGATAGACTCCTTGCGAGTATTCTTGATGATCGAGATGTCCTATTTTTCATTCTTCAAGTCCTCCTTTTATACTTATCTGGCCACCTCATGTTGTAACTATCAATTCATGATTTTCCTTGATTTTTGCTCTACTCAACCATATCTCATATTTTCGTAGGAACTACTTGTAGATTTTGTGTTTTGACTTGATATTGATCCCCATGATTTTAGCATATAGTTTCTAATTGATTTCAACAAATATCTTTTTTGGCTTTATTTAATCTTTTCAAGCTAGATCATCATCTCTTCCATGCCACGTTACTAGCAAATTTGTTATGCCATGTCAGCAAAATAATAATAATAAAAATAAATGTAACCAATGTTATTCTTAAAAATAGTCTATGGTCTTAATCGACAGACCATAATTGAACTTGGTCATAATCAATCAGGCCATAATTGACAGAAAAATAGAATGTGGTGCAAACACTAAAGTTACTCATAAAAAAATATGCATACCATTTTATTTTAAAATTAAAAGAATAAGTAATATGTACCTTTTGTATTAATAAAATCAACTCGATAAAATTGGTAC